TTATTTTTTATTTCGTTGGATTTTATTAACCTCTTATTTACTCCTTAACGCACAAAGTTTAAAATTATTAACTTCTTACCTAAAAATTTAAGGTTATTAGTTCTTTAATAATATAATTAAATAGCACTTGGGATCATGATGCAATGGTTATAATTTAAATGATAAAGTGCATCCCCATTCAAAGGTTGGGATTGGAATCCCTTCTCCCTTAAATATAAACTTGTTAATAAAATAATAATAATATAATTAATAAAATTTATCTTTATTTAATAAATTTTAATTTAAATTAATTAAAAATATATATTTATTGTACCATATTATCAACTAAACATCCATCACAACAATCCAATTATATCATCAATTTAAATATCACAAAATGTAGTTTTAAGTTATGTTTTGAATATGTCAATAATTTAAATAATTTAGTGGTAATCTCATTTTAATAAAAATAAAAGTTCCTGATTTACTAATAAGTTATTGATTCAAATGGAAAGAATTCGGTTCTTTTTTAAACAAAATCTCAAATGCAAATCTTGTTAATGAAAAAATAGATGTTAAAAGAATTTTTTCCCTTATGAGATTTGACATATCTTAAATTTAAATTAATTAAGATCTAATATAACTTTTGGATACAAGAGGGTTAATATCAAAAAAGAAAAAAAGAAAAAAGAGCTCTTAATTTCAAATTGCATAGTATGTAAATAGGGTGAATCATGAGATAAAAAATAATTATCTCTTATTGTACCACTCAAAAAAAAAAAAAAAAGTCCTGCCTTGTACGTACATTTGCAACTATTTGTTGTGTCAAACATCTTCTGCACCACCTTAAGTTGATCTTTTTGGTAGCTGTGGCTTGTGAAATTGGCTTGGATGAGAATGCCTAACAAGTAACAAGACCATCTGTGTGCACAGGTTGCTGCAAAAAGTTTCATAAACAGTCAGATAATTTAAATATTTAGCTTATCTACTTAAATTAACTTATATTATTTTAAACTCACCTCATCTGAATTTGGTTAGTTGATGAAAATAGCAATGTTACTCTTCTTTTTCCTACCCTGACAAAATGTTCATTTTGCTCCATATCTTCAAAAGAAATGGGCTTGCCCTTGTCCTTCCTTGGCAAAAACTTACCTTTAATCTCTCATCTTGTCAAGTTTAAAGGTTTTAATCTTTTACTTTATTAGATTTGTAAGTTTTAACCTCTCACTTTATACTATACTACTTTTAACCCTTTATTTATTAAAATTGAAGAAAATAACTCTTATTTTATAATATTTTGTTAGTTTTATTAATTAACTGTTAACTCTATTAGTTGACTGTTAGTTGTCAAAAACCTTCTTAACAGAGTTAACAAAATTAATTTTATAATATTTCGTTAATTCTGTTAATTAGTTATTAGTTGACTGTTAATTGATAAAAATCTACTTTCAGTTAATAGAGTTAACAGTCAGTATAAAGTAAGGGATATTTTTTTCGATTTTAATAAATGATGAGCTAAAACGTATAAATCTAGTAAGGTGAGGGGTTAGAAGTATTATAATATAAGGTAAGGGGCTAAAACCTTTAAACTTAATAAGGTGAGGGGGTAAAAAAAGATATTTGCCGTCCTTCCTTTTAGTCCCAGATGAAGTTCCACGCTACCATAATAATTTAGGATTAAAACGTGCCACTAAATCATTAAGATACGGGTTGAAAAATAAAGTCAACAAGACTAGGAATTAAATGATGGGTTTGTCTAATATATACACCGATGGTATAAGATTAATTTTATTAATTATAGTATTTATAAATAATTTTTTATAAATTTTTATAATAAATTTATATCTTTTTATATATTTTAATAACAAATATTATATTATGAGATTAATATGTATCAATTTTAATTTTTAAAAATAATTAGAGTTTTAACTTATATTTAAAAATTAAAATCTTATTTTATTAAATGTTGATATCTAAATTTATAAATAAGATAAAATGATAATTT